GGGGATTGGGTGAGGTGGGGTGGGCCCGCCGGAGGGTGACGGGCGCCGCTGCCTTGCTCCGCAGCTGAAGAAGCTGGATCAGGCCGTGTCCGCCGCTCACACCTTCTTCGTCGCCAACCCCCAGCACCTCCAGATGCGGGAGGACATAGAGAAGTACCGGCGCATGTCGGGGGTGAAGTCGGACAGCTTCCGCGACCTGGAGGCCACGCCGCACTGGGTGAGGGTGAGGGGCAGAGCCGGGCGTCAGCAGCTCGTGCCCCATCTGGGGTCCTGGTCTGTGCCCACACCAGGGCCGCAGCTTGAGACAGGGCCACCATACGTAGAATCGTAGAATGGCTTGGGTTGGAAGGGACCTTAAAGGTCATCTGGTTCCAACCCCCCTGCCGTGGGCAGGGACACCTTCCGCTAGCCCAGGTTGCTCAAAGCCCCATCCAGCCTGGCCTTGAGCATGGGGCATCCACAACTTCTCCGGGCAACCTGTTTCAGCGTCTCGCCGCTCTCATCGTAACAAATCTCTTCCTTGTCTCCAATCTAAATCTACCCTCTGTCAGTTTGAAACCATTGCCCCTTGTCATGTCACTACAGGCCTTGGTTAAAAGTCTTGCTCAGTCTTTCTTGTAAGCCCCCTTTACATATGAAAGGCTGCAGCAAGGTCCTCCTGAAGCCTTCTCTTCAGGGTGAAGTCAAACTCTTGCAAGTGTGACACGGAGACTTTCTGGTGACAGTTACAGCAGGCCGTAGGGCCTTCGAGAAATATGCTTGGCTCGAGCCCAGAAGATGTGCTGTCACTGCGTGGTGGACTGTGCATGGTCAGGCGGGCCCTAGATGTCAGCACTACCCTGTGAGCGACTCGGGGAAGTGTCTGGGAGCCCTTTGGTGTCACCCCCGCTGATGGGGGCCTGCTCTGTCCCTGGCAGGAAGCCTATGAGGCTGGGGTGCAGCACTACAATGCAGATGAGTACCCGCAGGCTGTGTCCAGGCTGGAGGAGTCGCTCGCAGAGGCACTGTCAGCACTGGAAGAGTGTCGTGCTCTTTGTGAAGGTCCTCGGGAGGAGGAGGAGGAGGAGGAGGAGGAGATGCAAGCTGGCCTATACGAAGCCATTGCAGGTAGCGTTAGAGGCACACAGGGTTGGGTAGGAAGGCCATGCTCCCTGTGCTGGACATGCCCCGTTTCCCAGCGCTGCTGTCTGGCAGAAGTGGGAGCTGCTGCCTTTCTTGCTCCTCTTTCTTGCAGCCCATTATATTCAGGTTCTGAAGTGCAGACAGCAGTGCGTCCTTGAAATTGCCACAAAGCCGGGGCGGATTTCTGCCACGGAAGACTTCATACCCTCTCATCTTGATTTCCTGCAGTTTGCCTATGATCAAGGTGAGCAGAGCCACAACCCAGCGGGTTACGTTGTGGCACCCCTAAACTTGCCCTTTGCCTCTAGACCTGGAGGGCAGCATCTCGTGGGGAGAAGTGGCACACTGACCTGAGCTCTCCCTCTCTCTCCCTCCTTCTGCCCCGTGACTCGCCTGCTCTGCCTAGAACCTCTCTTCTCTTGCTCAAACCCAAGCCTGTGGCCACCTTGAGACAGGTCTCCTGTGGTCTGCTTCAGCCTCCTTGTGCAGCCCCTGTAACGTGTGGCTGTTCTCACTTCTTTCCTCCAGCGCTCTCTGTTTCAAGTCCTTGCTCCGGCTGCCTGCTGCTGTTCCAGCTGTGTGGTTTATACCCTCCGTTTCAGTACATGGCTCCAGACCAGGCCCCCGCTTCCTACCTAGAGCATGCATGTGCGTCTCACCTCAACAGTGGTGTTCCTTCTGAGTCAGCCCTGCCTGCCCTCTCTCCACTGGTGGCCTGTTGTGACACTGGTCACCCTGTCACTGTCACACATCCCTCAGCTCTTCTCTTGGGTACTTCTGCTCCTTCCTGCACTGACCCAGCTGTCTCTCATCTCCTCTCAGGGCACTGGTAAAACTTGTATCTCAAAGAAGCCTCCAGATCCCTCATCATGATGTTGGGTCGTGCTGGCCTATACGCATTTGATGCTAACATCAATTCTTTCAGAGACCTGTCTGTTTGTTCTGTTCTGTCCCTGCCCAAGCTGGGAACCAGGCACTGGCTGCTGAATGCGCTGCTTCCTACTTGCTCTTCTATCCCACGGATGAGCCAATGTTGGAGAAAATGAAGCAGTATCGCAGAGAACTGGGAGAGGACACAGCTGTCACAGCCAGAGAGGTAGTTACAACCCCAGGTCTGTACTTTGTTGGCCCTCCTCTGTCCCACACAACAGGATCGCAGTCCAGGAGGCGAAAAGGGAAACATGTTTTACTGCAGGTGTGTGCCAAGCCCAGGACTGAAGAAACGGAGTCTGAGTTTACTTATAGTCTGTACCAGGCAGGATCACTTCAGGACGGATCTGGGCTTTCCTAGTGAACAGCAGTGTGTTGGGGCAGCCTTCTGCCCTGGACAAGGATGGGGTTGTCTTTTGTGGGGTGGTTGATTGACAGCCTCTTTTCTTCCTTAGAGCATTCAACATTATATGCAGAGATCTTTGATGGAGAAGAAGTTGATTTATTATGCAGTGGAGCATCTAGGGGAAACTTTTAATGACCCTGTAAGTAATGGTGTCGTCTTAATCTTCCTGCCCTGATTTCACCAAAACAGTTGCCAGAACTCACTTCAGTAGCACATGATCCAGAAAGGATCAGATGCTGATGAGAAGGACCCCCCAAGTCCTTATGAGGTGGATCTTTAAGGCCTTTCCACTGCTCCAGTTCCAAAGTTAGTTGGAAATTGCTGCTGTAACCATATGCATTAGCCCAATCTGGCTGTCATCGGAAGCAGACCAGAACCATTGGTCTGATACTCACTGGAGAAGCGGGACTGCGAACTGGCTGTTTGACATGATCCAATGTGGGAGAATTTTGTTGTGTACTGAACCGTCTGCGTTTGTTCCTACAGGATCTTTGGACTCCAGATGAGCTGATTCCTGAAAACCTAAAGGAGAAATACAGGTAAGGTTGGCCAAGTCAACTAGCACTTAAATGTAAGTGTTGGAAGTAGGGGATGGAGTTGGACTGGCAGGGCTGGTACAAGGAACAGTAATACCTGCTGAGGAATGGGCAAAACAGGAACAGAAGGGGTGTGACATGCTACCACAGAGGAGGGTTGGCTTAGCTCTGTGTACTGACAGCCCCAGTCTCTGTTTTTTTCCTTGCTCCCGAGAGAGGATCAGGAGAAGCAAAAGCAGGAAACTCTGGATGTGGAAGAGAAGGAGAAGAGGGGTGAGTAAAAGAGCTTAAAGGACTTGGATGCAGTCAGCCAGGCTTAGCCAGGCTAAGTGCTGTCTTTTCTTCCATCCTCAGACATTTGAATGCTAGCATAGATGCAGACTGACTCGAATGGCTCAGCAAGTCTTCTCACTGTTTCTTTTCTCCCTCTTCGATGCATGTGTAATCTTGCAAAATCTCGCTGCGTACATCTCTGGGATGGGAACACAAAGAGCACTGTGGCTGGAGAAGCTGAGAGCGGTGGTGCCTGAATACGTGACAAGCCTGTGGACATGCAGATGCCTGTTCAGTGTGGCAGGAGTCGCTACACCAAACCTGGTTCAACTCCACCAGCCCAACTTCAAACAACTTTTTTTCTGAAGGGAACAAGGAGAGGAGGGGGGGAAGTGGAAACTGGAAACAGACTATTCGGCTTGGGCAAGTTTTTCCCTGAAAAACTGAAGTGCAAATGGTTCATGGCTGAGTGCTATAGACTGCAGTGCAGAGTCCCGTGTTTTTGCTGGTCCTCTGTTCTTACACGTGGACACAGCCTCTGCAGGGCTCTGTCCTGGAGTCTTTGCTTGAAGTGACCCCAAGTGGTTCTCTGCTGTGACACATGGGAGAGCAGATATTCAGAGGGCAGAAGGGGGAGAAGAAAAGGCCGTAGATCAAAAGATCAAATCACCAGCTAGTATCCTTTGCTTCTCTTTGGGGCTGACGGAGGTAGAAAGATCCACTAGAGGTAATTCTGGGATAAGGTGTGTGATTGAAAGGAGGGTTGATGGAGGTGTTTGCCTGCTTGTTTTCTCCAGAGCTTCACCCCAATAGGCTGGACCTGTTCTGTTGCTGCGATCCACAGTGTACTCAACTTTCCCCAGCTCCCTGCTGCTCTCCCAGCAAGCCCCAGGTTTCCACTGGCTCCTGAAGCACTTGCTGTAGGCCATCTTCCCCAGCTGATGCTCTGGTTCCCCTGAAGCATGTGAGGGGTGCAAGTGGCCCAGGTCTGCGAGGAATGGGCACTTCTGGGGAACTGTCCTGTCTTCTCAGAGAACGTAGAGTGTCTCCCCGCTTCCTTATCCAGGCTGGGGGTTGGTATCTGAGGGCTTCTTGTCCAAAGCTTGCTCACGCCTAGCTGTGCTTGCTTCTCCAACAGGTCCTTTGCCTTTTGAGGGTATTGCGGTCACGATGGATTCCCAAAGGATGAATGGAACCCAGAGGGTTGTGTTCGACAGAGTGCTGACAGAGTCCGAGTGTAAAGACCTTCTCCGGCTGACAAAGGTGAGGCCTGGGCCTTGTAGGAGCTCCTGTATGTATACGGTCCTCAGCAGGGAGGGCTGTAGAGTTTCCGTGGAGGTGAGATGGCAGCCTAATGTGTGTCATCTATATCCTTCTGTTCCAGGCAGCAGCAGAAGCAGGAGACGGCTACCGGGCACGACGGTCGCCTCACACCCCACATGAGAGATTTGAAGGGTTAACCGTTCTGAAGGCCATGCAGGTAAGTGGCTCTGTGAGTCTGCCCTCTTCTTGAATATCCACAAAGAGTGTTAGCCACCGGGGCGTTTTTCTCTGCGAAGCGTGCTCTGGATGGGGTCATGGGTGTGTTGTCTTCCTCACAAGCACACGTGCGTTTGCCCTGACTCTGTTCCTCCATGATTGTGTTTAGGTACGTTGGATGTGGAGGGCTTGTGTCACTTGCCCCTGTGAAGACAGGGTTTCGGGATTGCTGCTTGTCCATGTATGGCAGTCTTACATACATGCTTAGCTTAGAATTGGAGAATAAATTAAGGTGGAAAGAGCCTCTGGAGCTCTCTGGTCCAACCCCCTGCTCACAGCATGGCTAATTCCAAAGCTGGATGAGATCCCCTGAGGCTTTGCGCGGGCGAGTCCTGAACATCTGCAAGGGTGGAGATTCCCCAGCCTCTCTGGGCACCCCTTTCAGTGCTCTGCCACTCTCGGGAGGATGAAATTTTTCTTTATATCTAGCCATAACTTCGCTTGCTGCAGCTTTTCACCTGTTGCCTCATGTCTGTTCGGTGCATCCCTCTGAGAAGAGACTGTCTCCATCTTCTCCATAACCCCCTTTTAGGTGACAGTAGACTGTAGTTAGATCCTCCTTTGTCCTTCTCTTCTGTAGGCTGAAGAAACCTACCTCTTTCAATCTCTTTTTCTAAATCATGTACTCCAACACCCCGCAACACCCCTGCCATCTTAAGACCCGTCGCTGAAGACTCACTCCAGTTCCCCAGTGTCGCTTGTGCGCTGGGGGACCCAAAACGGTGCTGCATTCTAGATGTGGCTTCATGTGCTGAGTAGAGGGAAAGAATTGCTGTGCTGTGCAGGTGTACTCTGACTTACGTTTACATGAGAAAACGTGGTGTTTTCTTACATGTGTGACCACAGGGCTTTACGCAGGTCTCTTCTTCCATACTGTGTACGTGTATCATTTTTTACAGCGTCTTTGTATGTAAGTATTCTAACAGCCTTGTTTTTCACTTGTAGCTGGCCCAGAATGGGGACGTGGACTGGAGAGACGCCAGATTACTTCTGCGGGCCAGTGAGAAATCACGGAAAATCATAGAGTCCTACTTTACTCCTGGGAAGAAACTCCATTTCTCATTCACACACCTTGTGTGCCGCACAGCTGTTGATGGTAAAGAATCTTTCACCTTGTTAGTTCCTTTCTCCTGGAGAGTCTGCTCAGCCCCAGCCATGTCCACTCGGGAGACTCTCTTCCCTTTACGCTCGCTGTGCCCCTGTCTTTCTGCTTTATTCTTTCTTGAAACAGAAAATGCCTGTATTCTTTTTGTTTAACTTCCCTTTTCAGAAGAACAGGAAGGTCGCATGGATCTTAGTCATCCTGTCCATGCTGATAATTGTCTCTTGGATCCTGAGGGGCAAGAGTGCTGGAGAGAACCACCTGCCTATGTCTACAGGGACTACAGGTAAGAGAAGAAGGATTGGATCACAGGGAGACCAGAATGTCTCCCTGGCCCCATCAGAGGATGAGCTCAGCTTATAGAAACCAGGTGATGGGTTGTTGGCTCAAAGTCAGCCAGGACTGTAGCATCAGGCAGAAGGCTGCTTTCAGAACGAGGTGTGAAATGCCTCCCCTAGGCTGAGAAAAAGATTTGCTCTTTCTCCCTCCCTCCCCACAGGCAGCGTTAACGGTGAGCAGAAGGAGCTGGGGGGCTGCATAGATGAGAACTGTGATATCAAATTGTCATCTTGTGGGTCTACCACAGTACCCCAGTCCACTGCCAGCCCTTATGACAGTCTATTTCTTCTAATCAAGTTCTGTCTTTCACAGTCTTCCGTGCATTACGGGAGAGGGAGAACCAAGCTCCTTGGCTTTCCTTTGTCTGAGCAGTCAGTGTACTCTGGTGGCTGTTCTCTCTGTTCATCTCCCAAGATTCACTGCCAATACTTTGTGTTGGGTTTTTCCATTCCATGTGAGAAATTTTTTCCAGCCTGTGGCAGTATTTTTTTACTCTTCTGTGAAAGAATGCAAAATATATTTTAGAGACGGTGACAATTATTGCACACTGCAGCTAAATGAGGTCAATTCACTACAGTTGATTCCTCCTGTTTCCCATCCCTTCCCTGGGCATCCAGAAATTTGCCTTTTCTTTGAGTGGTAGCCGTACCCAGAGGAGAAACCTTCTCTGAGCAACCTATGGTGAGGATGTGGGACTTAGAGTGAATTCCAGTATCATTGAGTCAGTTTTCCTTCTGATATAGGTGTTGACTTGGTATAGTCAGATTGTAAAGTTACTGGGCTCTGTCATGTAACTGGTTAGATCTCTGTCCCTCCTGTGGGAAAGCTGTCCTGGCACCTCACTCCTCCCTGGGTAGGGGGCTTCTCTGACTGCTACTTGAATGTATGTTAAAATATCTTCTGGGATTTATGCCACTGAGCTGTCTCCAGGAGTATTCATGTCCATTTGCAAAGTGAATTGTGATTGACCAACCAGCTCACAAGGGCTGAGCTCTTCCATTGTATTTCTGAAAGAGGTCCCTGTGCTCCAGATTTCCTGGATCTCTTTTGTGTATTTATGCTATGGTCATCAATGAAACTACTGAACAGGGTTGGGCCCAGGGGTCCAAGACTCGCAGTGATCCTCCTCCAGGTGACCAGTACTCCTTTCAGCTCCAGCGGTCCACGAGTCGCTGTGTGCTTCATGTGCTCTTCTTCACCTTCTCTGTGTTTGTTGGCAGTTTCCCCAGTGGCACTGTTCCGAGTACTTCTACCACAGTCCAAACTGCTGAGATCGAGCATGATTGTGTGGCTAGCTCAATCTGCTTTTAGTACCCCCATGTTATATTTTAAGACTGTTTTCCATTTACCTCTTGTCCCTCAATTATCCTTCTCCTCAGAAATAGGTTCGAAAGCCCTGCAGACTCCTGAGGTCAGGCTAACAGGCCTGTTTATGCTTCAGGCATTATCCCTGCCCTCCCGCCCCTTCGTGTGTGTGAGAGCTGTCCTTGCTTTTCTCCAGTTAAGTTACCCCCCTGACTTCACAGTCTTACTAAAACTGTAGCAGAAGAGCTATAAGTCCCTGGATTTCAGTACTGGGGTGATCCTCTCACTGTCCTTATGTCCTGAATGTTTTGTTTCAGCAGCCACAGTGTTGATTGATTGCTATTGCATTCTCGCAGTCCCATTGATGAGCCTCTCTTGTTGCCCTGACATCTTCTATCAACTGAATTGAATACCAAGAGGAGCTCAAGTGGTTTGTGGTCCATTGTTTCACCTAGTTGACTGTGGTCGCACCTGCACTGCACAGTGGCCTCATTACTTTTTTCTTTATCTAACATGAGTGAAGAAATTTCTTGTTTTAATTTTCTTCACTGCATGCACCAAGCCTCTTTCTGACCGTTCTTATGTTACCCTCAAATTTCTTGACTCTCAGGACATGGCATTCTTTGCTGATCAGTCTCCTCTTCCAGGCTTTGGATTATTCCCAGTCTTATAAACAACGTCATGCCAGGTCAGAACCAAGGTCCGTCTAGCCCAGGGTGTTGTCACAACGGTGCCACAGATGCATGCTGCAGAGGATTGAAAAACAAACCAAACAAAACAGGACAATCCCATAGAGCTAACTCACCAGCGTGTTCTCCTAGCCTCTTGTGGCTTGCAGCTCGGGGACTCCCCTGAGCTAGACGCTGCGGTATTTGATACCCTCAAATGGATTCTCCTGTTAACTGGTCTAGACACATTTGGAACCTGAGGTGACATTCAGGTCCCACAGCCTCCTATGGCAGGAGAGTGGGGAAGCACCTGGGAGGAAGGAGCTTCACCGTCCTGTCTTTTTTTTTTTTTTTTTCTCCCCCGCAGTGGCATTCTCTACCTCAATGATGACTTCCAAGGTGGGAGCCTTTTCTTCACTGAAATGGACACTGTCACTGTCACAGTAAGTCTGGGACCGGCCAAAAAAAAGGAGGGAGGACGGGGGGTGAGACTTAGTCTGGGCAGAAGGAAACTAGCTGGCTATTGGATCCCACCATTCCAAAAGCAATCCAGTGCTGGTGCTGTGGCAGATTCAAATAGGGGCAGCTAAAGGCAAATTGAGGCAAATCTCAGAGAGGAGATGTTAACTCCTTCCTACCTGAGATATTCCAGGCTCTTCCGGTCTGTGGGTGTCTGTGACCCGTGTTGTCCTTTTGACTCTCTCTGTCCCTCCCCAAGGTCTACCTTGCTCATAGACTGACAGCAGATGCCTTGCGGCTCTCCACTGTTCCACGTTCCCAGAGGCAGCATGACCTCTGTAGAAGGACCATGTACCGCAGAGCAGGGGGCTGCTGGCTTCATTGTTTCTTCTCTCTCTCTCTCTCCTGGCAGGCTGAGGTGCGTCCTAAGTGTGGGAGGCTGGTAGCCTTCAGCTCTGGCAAGGAGAACCCCCACGGCGTGTGGGCAGTGAGCCGCGGAAGGCGCTGCGCCATTGCTCTCTGGTACACACATTCCCAGGAGCATGCTGAGCAGGTAAAGGACCATGCTGGGGAAACGGATGAGAGTACCTCCAAGCTAGATCAGATCCCTCCGAGGAATGGCTGGTGGGCTTTCCCATGGGGCAGAGTGTAGTGCAGCAGCTGGGAGTTGTCCTCTGACAAGGTAGCTGGTAGAGGGGACAGCCTGTGATGGGTCCTGCAAGAGAGAACGGACTCTGGTGGGGTTGGATGGATTTGTCAAAGACAAGATGTGCCTTGTCAGCCCTTGTGAGCAGAGCCAAGACCCTGGCAGGGAGGGCTTCACATCATCTCTGTCTCCATGGCTGCAGGAGCGGGTGAAGGCAGAGGAGCTGATGGAGCAGAGGGCTGTGGAGCAGGAGCGGCCAAATGGAGAAGAGCATCAGGGGTCTGATCACAGTGGCAGATCCTCCTCAGAGCCTCCCATTCCCACCAGCGGAGCCAGGCCCACGAGCCGGAGCCGCAAGCCTGGCTCGGACAGGACGCAGCACCCCCAGGGGCTGCGAGCCAGAGATGAGTTCTGAGTACACAGGGCCCTGGGGCAGGGCTGGCACACACCATGGCCTGGCAGGTCGCGGTAGCACCGGGACCACAGAGGCCTGGAGCAGTGTATTAGCATGCTAGAGCCGTAGTGATGGGGAGGGATACAACTTTCTTCTCTGTGACCGGACAGGACGCAGCACCCCAGGGGGCTGCGAGCCAGAGATGAGTTCTGAGTACACAGGGCCCTGGGGCAGGGCTGGCACACACCATGGCCTGGCAGGTCGCGGTAGCACCGGGACCACAGAGGCCTGGAGCAGTGTATTAGCATGCTAGAGCCGTAGTGATGGGGAGGGATACAACTTTCTTCTCTGTGACATCCCAGCAGCTGAAAAATGGGAGCAGGGACAGAAGTCAGTGACACCAGGGACTTTCTTCACTGCCTCACCAAGGTGTTTGCGTCACGCAGAACTAAGAAGGTGGGGTCTCCTCACCCCACTCCTCTCAGTGCCACCTTCTTGGTCATCCAGGGCCAAACCTGAGAGGGGGAGGAGGAGCCTGGGGTCTTTCAGCAAGGGCTATCTCACATTTAGGAACTCAAAACAGAAGCCTTTGAATTTCCTAGGAGCTGCAAACTCCGGAACCTTGCGGTTGGTCTGAGAGAGGGAAGGTGAGGGACTGTGAATATATGGAATAAAAGCAAAATGCTGGACACAGATGTTGATGGAAGTTTGAGTCTGTACACCAGGAAGGAGACACGCACGCTCATTGCTGATGGAAATTTAATTAACAAATGATGGAAGTAGATTGAGCCCTCAATGAAAGAAAACAAACAAAGTGGTGGTGGGGGGTGCCTTTAAGAAAAAGCACTATACTCACATTTCCCTGCAGCAAGGCCTTTCATCTTTTTTTTTCCTTCCCCCTCTCCATACACCAAATTGCCCCTGAAAGCAGAAGAGATATTTTGTTCATTGTTTTCCACCCTCATACAAAGACAATCTGCTGTCACTGCCCAGGGGATTAGTGTCCCGAGATGGGATTATATTGTAGCCAAACAGGAATTGAATGGGGTGGACATGGAGTATCAAAAAGAGCAGTGACCCTCTTCCTGGGAAGCATTAGAGCCAGAGATCAGTCTGTGGTCATGACATACTCGATGAGTACGACACAGGCCTCCATGAGGGTTGTGCATGGAGATCCCAGCTACAGTTCAGATGGAAGAAACCTGTAGGGCCAGGCCCAGTGGTGTGAGAGGCGGGTGGGTGAGCCCCTCGCTGCTGTCGGCACAGGGCCCCTGCTCGTGGAAAGGGAAGTCTTTCCTCAGTCACAATCCCAGCACTTCCTCAACACGCAAGCTTGGGAAAGCTGCATCGGCAACCCTTTGTGCTTGCCGTCCTCCCCAGGGTCACAGGGAGAAGACAGTTTGATGCGTTTTTCAAATCCCCTCTCCCTGGCGGGAGGTCCGTCGCATCCTAGCACTCGCACGTCCGCCCCGATGACCTGTGTGGGGGTGCTGGGTGGTTCCTGCTTGACGAGGATGGGCTGGGGGACGAGGGGCCAGTGTCCACGTCTCTGGCTTGCTTTGCTCAGAGGTGGCTTGGGTGATTAGACTGATGGCCTCCTGACGTCAGATGAGATCCGTTAAAAGGTATTTATCTCAGGCTTGGGCCAAAGCTGCAGGAGAGATTAAAAGAGATTGAGGCCAAGATAATCCCCTCGCAGCATCCCACTAAAGTGGCTGCCAAAAGGCATGCCACCAAATCTTTTGCCACCCCTGGCCCCTGTGCCCAGCTCTGTTTTCCCCACGCGGAGCCCAGTATGCTGCCCAGAGAAGGTCTGACCCCGGCCCTGCCGTTGGTTTTGCCTTGGCAGGGCCACCGTGGATGGCACCATCCCTCTTCCCACCCTGCCTGGGACACGAGTGGCACGCTGTCCTCGGCAAAACAGGAATTCCTGTGGACTGTGAGGTGCAGCAAGCCCTGCCCCAGTGGCTGATAATCCCAGCCTGTTCTGGCTAATCTTCGCTTTATTAGTTTGTTGCTGATATAAACAGAGGGAGTCAAATCTGCCTGTGATGGTTTCTGTCCCTTCAGGAGCAGCGTGCTACTCTCTCTTTTCACCCCTCCCCATCCACCTGCTTTGCATTACGTCCCAATCCGATTTCCCCAAGTCTCTGGTGTCTGATTTAATTTGCCTGACGCTGCTCCTGGAATCAGCCCTCCCCCAGCCCCTCCCGTCCACAGCCTTCCAGCTCCCCATGGGGAGATCAGTCCTGGGAGAGGCTGAGGAGCGGAGAGGGAACAAGGGACTCGCTGGGTGGACGGGCAGGGCTGACTGGAGACCACACAAGGACAAGGGGCTTCTGGCCGGCGGGGAGACACTCTCAGCAGAGGAGGCAGGCTGTGAGGGTCCCATCCAGGGGGAACTGCAACCCACCTCGCTCTACGGATCCCGGTAAGGATGGTGCCTTGTGATGCCTGAGGTCACCTTGGTGAGCCTGGCACTTGGGACGCTGAGTTTCTCGGTGTGATTCTGTGGAGAGTCTTTGTACAAGGGCTGAACCCATCAGAGGAAGCGGGAGGGGAGATCATGGTGGGGAAGGAACTGGGATTAGCATTGAGATGTCTTTACGATGGTGAGGGGCTTTGCACTAGGATGGGGTTGCTTGTTCTCCCCTTGGCGGGTAGACCTCTCCAGTTTCCAGACTGGGACGGGGGGGTAACGCCTGCCCCGAGGGGCCTGGCACTCACTACCCATACGCAGTCCTGCACTCCCGGTGTGCTCCTGTGCATCCCTCTTTGCAGCCGGCTGCTTTTCTGGATGGAGAAGGAGCCCTCAGAAAGCAAGGAGCAGAGCAGGGTAATTTTACCCTGGCCTTTGATCTCAGGAGAGGGGGATCATCTCTGTATCCGGCTCTGCAAGAAGCCCAGGGTCACCAGGGCAAGCGTGCAAGGCCAGCCAGGGATTACACAGGGACCCAGGGATGCTGCCTATTAATACTCAGTCCTCCCTCCTGCACTTTTGCCTTTTCTATTTACAGCCCTCTCCCAGCATCCCATAGAGGGACCTCTCCCTCCCCACTGTGGGGGAAGCTACCCGGAGGATAGCAAATAAGGGGGTTCACCTCCCCTTTCTTCCCACCCATCACTTGCGCCCCGATCCCCACGAGAGAGTAACGCAGGTGGCTCAGTAGGACCATGGCATGGTGCAAAGGATGTAGTCAGTGCCCTGAAGAGTCATGGTGCGCCAGCAAAAGGCAGAAGGCGGATGATTCCAGACCCCCCTCAACCTCACGCCACAGTAGAGGCATTTGGTCTGCTACAAGCAGGCACCCGGGGGCTCAAATGGGTCTGGTTGCCCACAGACAGGAGCACTACAGCAGGTGCCTCCAGCAAGTTAGTCAGCAAAGGCGGGAGGGGAAAGAGCTGTCATGTTGGGGAGCAGAAGAAATGAAATGTGGTTTCAAAAGCCAAGAACTGGATGAGAACAGCCAAGGCAGAACTCAGAAGAGGGCTGGCATGAACTGACTAAGCCCAGGCTCTGGCTGTGCCGTGCTCCTCAGTGATGCTTGTAGGAGACAACTCTGGACCAGTGCTGGTGCCAAGGTCCTCCTGCCAGTAGCTCTTTGCAACACTGGGCTGGTGGTGGTCAATTGATTTTTCAAAGGTACCTAAAGACATGGTTTCATCTACTGCTTAGCATCCACCTGAAAGAGCCCTTGCTTCCAGAAAGCAGCAGGTGTGCGCCATTTAGAAGCCTTTCCCATTAAAACCAGGCTGGGCAGCTGCCATGAGGAACCATGACCTGACCCGTGGATCCACAAGAAATGTGCATCCCTAAGGTCCTGCTGGTCACAGCGGGAGCGTGCCTTGGCCAGACTCCAAACTCCATTCCCCTTTCCTCTGTTCTTCCTTCACTTGGTTCCCCTATTTCCCGTCCTAAATTTACATGGCCATGGTGAGCTTCTCTTTTGCACACCTGCTGTGGGCCTCCAGGGCAGCAGCTCCACTCCGATGGGGACCAGCAACTCGCTCTCCACAAACTGCACTGGGATGTGACAGGTGGAAGCGACAGGCGAAGCTGGAGCTATTATTAGTGCTCATCTGTGGCTCCGTGTCCTTCTGAGGCTGAGAACAATTCCCAACTTCATTTGGAGTGTTCCCTCAAAGGGATATAAAGGTTTGGACAGAGTCCTGAACCTGAGCTGCACCTTCTCTATATTTAGCCCTTTTTATCCGTCCTCGACATCGTGCCCCTGCCCTTTGATCTGCCTGCCAGCTCCGAAAGCCCCTCATCTGGTTGTGCAACTTCACAGAGCCGGTGCCTGTGAGGTGCTGCTCCCGTGCTACGTGGCAGAGTTGAGAAAGAAAGGCCCGGGGAAGGGAAGAGAAAGGTAAAAACGCAGGAGAGATGCGAGGAAGGCTGGGGATCCTGTGGGTAATGAGGAGGAGATGTGCAGCCAGCTTCACCTGGGGCAGATGTGCAAGGAGGAGAGAACAAGGCTCCCATCTCCATGCAGGTCAGGGTGGGCAAAAACAAGTCCACAAAGACAGATTAGGGCAGGTGGATGGTCGATGATCTCAGATGGCCAAAGGTGCGTGAAGTAACAGCCTGCAGAGCTTGGGGACCAAGCAGACACTGGAAGAAGAGAGTCAGAGGGAAGAGGTGGCTCTTCAGGAAAAGGCAATCCAATGCTTAGGGTTGTTGATGGGGGGGAGGTAGGAACAGTCCTAGGGAAAACTGAAGAAGAGGAAGGTGTGGACCACAGTGGTAGTGCTGGTCTCCGCGGGGTGGCTGGAAATCAGGTTTGCCACTTGGTGTGCTGGTAGGTAGCGACCGGAGCCAGACGCTGTCTCTGCAGCTTGACTGTACACCAAAACTGAGGGGCAAACCACAAGACAAAGGAGGCTGTGCAGCCTCCTGCTGAGAGCTGCAAGGCCTTGCGCAGCACCTCCCTGGTCTGTCAGTTAGCTGAGAGATGGTGTGGGGTGCCCAGCCCTTTCCCAAAGAGGAGAAGAGCATGCAGGTGGGCTTTCATGGCCAGCATCACTCAACCAGGTGCAGCTATGCATCCTTGCTGGGAGGAACGCCCTCATCACTGTTCTGTCAACACAAGAGAAGAAAAGCACAGCGGAAAGGGCCCAGCTCAGGCGCTGTCTGTCCCCATCTTTCGGCATAGCCAAGGCTGGCAG